CCTGCACAGATTATAAATAAAAATTTACTTGAATTAATATTGCATAATTTAAAAATATTTGAGATGGAATGTAAATTTCATAGAATTTTTTTTTTCTTTAATCCACAAATCTCGAAGAAATATAAACAACAAATCATGTGAACAATAATTTAGACATTAGAGGAGCTTGAGCTTCATCCACTAATTATTTTTGCCATAAACTTCTCCGATAGCTCAATCAAATGGGACCTAAAACGCATTTTTTCACCCCAATGGATACGGTTACTATAATCTTTTTCTTCACTTTGAAATATCTTTATCTCTCTTTTTTGTTGTGGAGTTATTAAGTTTTGCAAAATAGATGGTAAACATGCCTTTTTCCACATCCCATTGCATACGCCTATATGAAATCTCCTTTTTCCATTTCCTTTGCTTTCAATTGTTTTCTATAAATCATCTCGTATCCAATTATTCTTGACTTTCAACCTTATGTTCTACTATCTTCCACACGCTTTAGTACTAACCAATAATGTCCATATACTCGGTCGTTCTTATCTTCCACGAGGAGCAGGGGATGCGGATGACTAAAATGATTTTGAGCTCCATCGATTTTTCTTTCTGCAAATTAAAAAACTTTCAGTTTGGTTTGGGTGGTGACTGAGGAGCGAGTAAACGGTGGTCAACTTGTACCGACAAAAACAATTGAAGTTTATTATATTTTTTAATAATTAAGTTATACAAAAATAAAAAAAGCTAATTTTAATTTTAACAATTAATTAATTACATTAAAATATATAATATTAATGTTAAAAACAATATTATTAACTTTTTTTACTTTTTTTTATATAATTTAATTACTAAAAATATATTAATTATATCTTTAATATATATTCTAAAAATACAAGAAATTATTAAATAATGTTCTTATATGAATTATTTTCAACAATCAACAAACTTTGGCCCATTTCAGGTCATGGCTGATACTGCCTTTCACTCACATTTAAAATTAAATAAAAGTTTTCCACTCATGTGATTCTAGATACCTTTTAATAATTAAATTATATAAAAATAAATTTTAATTTTAATTTTAATAATTAATTAATTATATTAAAATATGTGATATTAATTTTAAAATTAATATTATTAATTTTTTTATTTAATTTAATAATTAAAAAATATATTAATTATATTTTTAATATATACCTTAAAAAGTACTTGTCAAAAAATTTTATTAAATAATACTCTAATTTAAATTATTTTCAACATTCAACAAACCTGGCCCATTTCACGTCATGGCTGATGCTGCCTTCCACTCTCTTTTAAAATTAAATAATATTCTAAGTTAAATTATTTTTCTTCATTGAAAACAAAGAATTATTTTTATTTAAGGTTAATATTTATTAAGATTGAATTGTAGGATAAAAATTTTAAATTAAAATTATTTTAATTATAAATTATTCTTTCCATTCATTTTTAATA